AGTCTGTTCACGTGGCCTGTGTATAGGAACATATGGTGACAAAGACTAAAATTCACTAGAAAAGCAGCAAAGGATTATACTGAAGACACTGAAGACACCTGCCCTGGTGCTGGCTTCTCAGAGCCGTGTCCCGCCTTGCCTCCCTCTGGCTAACTTTCACAATGCTTGAAGATGTTCCTGGGAAAACTGCGACTCACATCTGTTATTTTCTGCTTTCAAAACCCCAGCGATGCCTTCTGCCTACAGATCATTCCATGCCATAGTGAGATTCCCCTCCCCATGGTGTGGCATAGAGTGAGGGACACCCCACCATTCTCATACCCTGTCCAGAGACAGAAAGTTCTGCCACACCTAAACCTATCCAGGCCCAGTGTTTCCCTGGCCACATGCCTAGTCCCTCTCTGTTCCTGCTGGTGGCAGGCACATATGAGTCTGGGTCCTGCTGCTGCCATTTGCCAGCACAGGAGGAGCTGGGCCAAAAATGAGCAGCACAGACAAGTGTGGGGACAGCTGAAGAAAGAGCTGAGAAATGGTTCCAACCACACACAGTGCTCCTGCCTCACCCTTGGTCACCTGTACTCTGTTTACAGCCAGTAAAGTCCCTTTATGGACCATTCTCTGTCCTTCTGCCACCTCACTCCAACTGTTCCCTGGTTCATCCCTACCTACCTTTGGAAAAATCTCCAAACACATCTCCCGGACAACTTCCTGCCAGGTGGCGTCACCTTCTTTCCCCTTTGTGGCTGGCATGGCCTGCACACTCCTCAGCTATGTTTCTCACCATATTTCACTACTACTGGTTATTTGCTTGCACATCTGTCTGTCCTACCAGCTCTTCGAGGGACTTGGACTTGACAGCACAACACAGTATCTGGTGTTCAGAGAGAACTCAGGTTTAGAAAGAATCCTGAGTACCCCAGCAAGGGGGCTCTGATGTGCAGACTGGTGGCCACCTTCAGAGCAGGAGTCACACACCAGAAAACCCAAGTGCCCAGGTCAAATCATTTTAATAAACTAGTCCCCCAGAGCAAGAGGTATAACAGAAAGTAGACACTTCCTGCTACTATCAACTGCATGCTATGCTATAAGCACATTCGTTAATAAAACATGCTATGTTTTAAAAAATTTTAAATTCCTTTTATTTAAGAAGAGGGCTTTTAGAAAGGGCTGGGGATGTAGCTCAGTGGCAGAGTGCTTCCCTTGCATGTGTGAAGCCCTGGGTCTGATTCCCCAGCACCACAAACAAAAACAAACAAAGAGGGCACATAAGAAGACATTCGTGGTAGTTAAGACAATCCCCCCATCGAGGGCCTTGCTGAGTCTTCCTTCAAGGGGCTTAGCAGGCGAGACTGGACAGGGCAAGGTCATCTTCCCTTCTTTGTTGCTGGGCCACAGAATGGACATCAACCCTGTGTGTAAGTGGCGGTGAACACAGTGAGTAGTCCCCTGGGCTCGTGGCAGGAGATGCAGGGTTGTGTCCTCTTTGGAAAGGGAGCACCCAGCCCCCACGCTCTTCAGAGGAGAGAGGCTGTCACAAAGTTGTCACCAGGCCCAACCCTCTGTCTTCCTCTTTTTGTTTCTGTCCCTGGCTGGAAGGATGCCCAGGATGGTGGAGGGGCAGGAAAAGCCACCACCTGGCCGGGAGCAGCTCTCTGAGCAATGGGGTCACAAGACTGTCAGAGGCTGTGGGTTCTGTCAGCAGGGAGAGGAAGAACAAAAACCAAGTCGCTGAAACATCAGCCAGAGAGGTTCCGACACCAAGGAAAAGAAGTGGGGGACAGAAGCTGGGGCTACTCAGGAACACAGATGACTAAAGACAGTCACCCTCTTGCACTTTGGCTGTAACTGTATATTTTGACAATAATGACTATTAAGGGCCTACTGTCTAGTTATTCAATAAAATGCTATGATATTTTAAAAATAAAGAAAAACATAGAAATGTACAAAATGTAGGAATAACACACACCCATGTATCCAATACTCAAAAAGCAAGAATTTAACACTGTCATGCTTGCTTTTAGTAACTATGGTCTTTAAAAACACATAGTTGTGGGGCTGGGGTTGTGGCTCAGTGGTAGAGTGCTTGCCTAGCACATGTGAGCTCTATCCTCAGCACCACATAAAAATAAAGATATTGTGTCCACCTAAAACTAAAAAATTTAAAACAAAACACATAGTTGTCTTGAATAGCAGACTATTCAGGTGGCCACAGCCTCAAAAGTCACGCTGCCTGAAGCGAAAGACGAACAAACAGGTGGCTGCAGGCCCCAAGGCAGCCTCACCTGGCCCATGCCAGGTTGATGGCAAGACTAAAAGCTCTCTGGGGACAGACATGTCTTGAGTCTTACTTGCTGCTGTATCCCTAGCATGGAGCACAGTATCTGGCACACAGTAGGTGCTCTAAAGTGTTGAGGGAGTGAACATAGGGAGAAATAAGTGACTGGGCTTTTGGGCCCCAATTTCTCAGAATGGTTACCAGATATGACCTCAACCCAGCCACAACCTCTCTGGGCTTGTGTCCAAGTCTGAAACAATTCGAGACCTTGACTTCCTAAGCTGGGGGTTCTTTCCAGCTCTAAAACACTGTGTCCAGAGGAACGAGGCAAATGATAAGTCTGAGGAAACCACCAGCGCACACACTGACTTCCTGGGCGGGTGCTTATTGGACATGCGTTGTGAATAATCAGCTCTGGATGTTTACATTTCCTTCTTTGGTAAGTCCTCAATCGACAGAAGCAATTTCCTTCCAATTCCAGTTCTGAATAGACTAGAATCATCTTTCCCAGACCATGTGAGCTTATGGGGGAAAAGACTTAACCCCCCAAATTCCACACTTGGACGCTAACTTATGTTCTCCCAGCTGATTCTTATGTTCCTGCCCTTAACACGATTTAGATTTTTTGTTTCTATGGTAACCAAATCTTTTGCTTCTTTTCATGCTTTTACCTTAATTATTAAATTAACTTGAGAAACAATATGCAAATGAATGAGCATTAGGACAATGTCATCCTTAAGGTTCCCTTAAGATGAAAATTAGTGGGCAAAAGCTTGATGAGAAACAGGATATGTGCATTGTCTCAAACACCTCCCCAAGTCATAGCAACACAGAGAACCTGCCAGGCACCGCCTTAACCAAGTAACCAGCAATGGACACATCCACACCACACACCTCCTGACATAGTACTCTAGGCAGGGCACAAGTCACTACCATGGTGCTCTTGCTAATGATGAGAAAACACCAGACAGACCCAACAGAGACATTCTACAAAAGCAACTGGCCAGTGTTATTTAGGTCTCCAGGTCATGGAAAACAAGTAAAGATCAAGTCACAAATCAAAGGAGACCAAGGGCACAGACAACACACTGAAGATCCCAGAGCTGGTTCTGGCACACAAGAGACATCAGAGGACAAACAGGTGACATTTAAACACTGTACCAGTGTGCGTTTCCTGGTTCCAGGCAGTGGACTATGGTTGTATAAGATGCTAGTGCTGCAGGAAGTGAGGTGAAGCATGCAGAGACTGAACTGCAAGGGTCATCGGTGCACTGCAGAATCTCTTGGCTGAATGCGGAAATTTAAAAAACTCAGAAAAAAATGGGCAAAAGAGCTGGGCAGGGTGGCGCATGCCTGTAATCTCAGCAGCTTAGGAGGCTGAGTCAGGATGATTGTGAGTTCAAAGCCAGCCTCAGCAACGGTTGAGGCGTTTAGCAACTCGGTGAGATCCCATTCCTAAATAAAATACAAAATAGGGCTGGAGATGTGGCTCAGTAGTTAAGTGACCCTGAGTTCAACCCCTCCACCCCTGCTCCCCAAAAAAGGGCAAAGGACATGAATAGGCATTTCCCGGAAGAGAAAATGCGTATGTATTTTGTTTGTATAAACAAACTCAGGGCAACTTCAACTAAGCTATAATGAGATACAATTAAAAATTGGGGGCCTGATAATTCTAAATATTGGCCCATCTGTGGAACTCATGGAACCCTCTTCCACTATTGGCAGAGGCAATAACTGGTACAGCCACTCAGGAAAATATTCTGGCAGTATCTTGTCTACGTGAAGATGCATGTGCCCCAGGATCTGACAGTTACACCGAGGTATACATCCTAGAGAAGCCCTTGAACGCAGCACCTGGAGACAGACAACAATGATCACAACAGTTTGTAACAGCAAAACACAGAAAACAATTAAAAACATGATGACACGTGGAACATCCTCACATGACAGTGGACGAACAAAGATCACAGTGGGGGGACTTCCACAGGTGGAAAAAAGCTATTGCAGAATGGCATGCGCCCTAAGAAATAGCTTTTATAGTTTGAAAATCAGTAGAACACAAGTCTGCACTGTCTAAATACATATTATAGCAAACTATGAAGAAAGGCCAGGGACAAGGGATCGGGGAAGGCATGAGGAGGTGATCCTGTACCATGGACCCTGGGTGCACAGACGGCAGACCTGGTTAGAAGGGCAACCCATGCTTCTCCTTACATACTGTCAGTATTAAAGGGCAGTTGAGGAAAAACCAAAGGGCAAAAATGCAAAGCATCTCCAGTTCTCTGGTTACAGTTTCGCATGGTAAAGCAGTCTAAGTGACTAAAATAGCTAGGCTTTGTGACACGTTTAGCCTGTAAAGTGGAAGGAACGAATCTGAGGAGAGCAGGTCGAAAGGGGTCAGAGATCAGCTCCCCAGATTGATCTGGAAACACCCACCCCCATCTCTATCTCCCACACATCACAGCCAGAAAGCTGTGTTAAGGGGATGTTGATTTCCTACAACGGACGAGACCTTCTTGATGTCCGAGTTCCTGGGTCGCACCCCTTTGCATTACCTGGATACAAACATGCCTCTGGCCTGAGTGCACTGTGCAGCACCCTTTGGTGGCTCCGTTAGCCTCTGCCAGGATTTATAACAACAGACAGCTCACCTATATTTTCACATAATTTATAAGGAAATTCTGCTAAAGGTCAAAACGGTCTTGTCAAGTGAGAGGCCACTCACCAGCTGGAACTCGCTCCTGCGGCTGAAAGCCTCCCTGATCTCCGAGTCCCTCCAGAGCGCGCTCAGGGCTGGCACATAGAGCTGGAAGGTGGCAGGCTCCACGGGCAGCCCTGCCTTGTTCTCAAAGGCCATCAAGAACATCCCATGCTTCTCGTTTTCAGAGTGCTGCTAAGGGATGCCAAGCTTGTCCCGTGCATCAACAAGCACCCTTGAGCCCTAGGAAATAAGAGAAGGGAAAAAGGATTTAATTGTGCTCTGAGACGACATCAAAATACAGAACCTTAGTACAGCGCTGACTGTCAGAAAGCAGAAAACTCACGAGCTGTGGAACTTGCAACCAGATTTGCCTTTGGTTTGTTCTGTTGTGGAACCAATGTCTCAACTCCTAGGACCACACCCTATGAGACAGGTGTGGACACCACCACCCAAATGGGCCACCGTTTCCTACATGCATATGAAAAGCACTGAGAGGGAGGAGGAAGCAGTGCAGTCAGAAATCCAGCAGCTCCCAGAAACCAGAAGGTTGCAGTCACTTGTCCCAACTGGGTGAGAAAACACACTGGCAATTGGCAGTCATGCAGCAGGGAAAGACTAACCCCACCTGGGCAGGAACTTCGACCACATCCTGGGGATGATGCCACCACTGTTTGGGGTGAAGAGAAACTGCTTTCCATATTTTGCTTATTTCTTCACTGTTAAAAAACCAAAAGTGAGTATTTTCTGCCCCTTCTCACCTCACAGGGCAAAGGGATGGAGAAGCAGCCTACATGAAACAGTACTAGGGAAGGCCTCTGGCTGTGGGGTCGTCCATCTCTGCTGCCAGCTGAGCTGGATTGTTTCATCATTCTTAGAGCAGAGTCCAGCAAGACGGTGTCTATGGAGGTGGAGTTCTCTGAGGTCCCCAGAGTGCTCTCTTACATGGTCGATACCCTGCAGAGTAGCATAGGGCACAGAGTGTCTGCCTTTCCAACTGGAAACCAAACAGGTGACAGTTGGGTGGGACCCTGACCTCCAGTCCAGAGGACCCCAGGGTCAACACCAGGCAGAATGGCAGCCATCAAGAATACAAAGAATAACAAATGCTGGAGAGGATGTGGAGAAAAAGGAATACTTCTACATTGTCGGAGCAATTATAAATTAGTACAACTACTACAGGAAATCAGTATGGAGGATCCTCAAAAGACTAGGCATGGAACCACCATATGACCCATTCCTTGGGGTTTATCCTAAAGAATAAAGTTCACCTTACTATAGCGATACCTACATACCCATGTTTACAGCACCACAATTCTCAATGGCTAAACTATGGAACCAGCCTAGGAGCCCATCAACAGATGAAATGATAAAGAAAACGTGGTATATATACACATTGGAACTTTATTCAGTCATAAAGAAGAATTAAATTATGTCATTTGCAGGAAAATTGGTGGAACTGGAGACCATTATGTTAAGTGAAATAAGCCAAATTCAGAAGGTCAAGGGATGGGTAGTTTTCTCTCATATGTGGAAGCTACAGAGAAAAAAAGGGGAGAAAAAGGTATGGGTGGGATCAGGGATATAATGAAAATCAAAGGGAGATCAGTAGAGGAACAGGACTGGAGGTGGAAGGTGGGGAGGGAGGGGAGAGCGTTGGGGAGTGACACTGGCCAAATTATATTGTTAAATTGTGTGCATGTATGAATACGTAACTATAAATCCCATCATTATGTACAATTATAAGGTACCAATAAAACACACGGAATGAAAAAACAAAAAGAAAACTGGTGCTTAGAAAGCAAAATAAATTTTAAAAATTCAGCTAGAAAACAGGCACAGGACACTTAGAGATATCTCTGCAGGTAGTGCAAGCAGATGACAAATCAGCAGGTGAAGAGGCTCATGCTTGCTAGACGCCAGGGAAAAGCAGAGAGGGCCGGACCTCCAGGAGCCATCTCCACACGATGGGAAACAGTGGGAAGGAACAGCAGTGACACCACCAAGTGGCAGTGAGGACGTGGAGAAATGGGAACACAACCAGCACAGATCGTGGACAGAAGTAGACAGTTTCTTTGAAAACTAAGCACATGGTTATGACACAGTGCCGCAACCTCAATCTTAAGTGTTTGTGCTGGAGAAATGAAAACTGAGGTCCACACAAAGGCATGTGCAGGAATGTCCACAGTAGCTTCATTTCCATGAGTCCCAAACTGGGAACTACAATACATTCATACTACGGAATACCACTTAGTAATTAAAAAGAATTATTGACACACAACAATCTGGAGAGAACTACAGCACATGATGTCAAAAGAGAAAAGTCAATCTCAAAATGTCACAACTATGTGATTCTCTTAAAGAGATCTCTGAGGTCTTGATTGTTGGTCACATCAATCTATGCAGGTGATAAAATGGCACAGAACCCCTCCTACACTGTACTGGTGTCAGTTTCCTGGCTTTGATATTGTACTGTAATTATGTACGTCATAACTATGGGGGAAACTGGATGATACCTCCCTATACCATCTTTGCAACTTCCTATGAACCTATAATTATTTCAAAATAAAGTTTTTAAAAAGCTAAATAGCAGTCACAGTAATGTATGCCCTGACTATGTGGTGTGGAAAGGGAAGGTTACTAGAGGCCAAAGGAAAAGAGGTAGTAGGAAAAAGCAAGGCTCAGAAAACTCCTAATCCGAGCTGGGTCTCTAACCAAGCTTTCTGAAGAGTTGATTCCTGTACTGAGGGCAACAGTGGGTCAGAACCCATCCTGGGGGAACTGAGCCAAGTCCTCCACTTTCCTCCCTTCCTGTTCCTCACTCTCCACATTGCTGCCTCTGGAATGCTCCCATCTCACCTCTTTCTCTGACTACACCGTGATCTTCAGCCTTCCCCAAAGAGCAATATATTCACAGGTCCGAGAACTCAAGAAAAAAAGATGATTCAAATTTTCCACATCATGCACAGCAAAAGTTACCTGCACATGCAGAAGGCAGCACTGATTTCTCTGATGAGATTTGAGCAAAGGGTCTTGAAGCCTTTGTCCAAGTCAGAGAAAGGACCCCTCTTGTCCTGGTGGATGCAGTCCCAAGACTGGCAAATCCTAGACAGGATTTCAGCCTCTGCCTGTCCCCGAGTCAGGAAACCAGCCCACCTACCAGCCCTGCCAATGCACCTCAATATGCACACTATCTGACCCTTAAGGTACCCTTTCAGGTGCTATTTTTATACAACTGTTTAGCTTCATAAGGAGTGTGACCTCACTCCCAGTGAAATCTACAACCCCTGGGGAGTATCATTTCTATATGTCAGAGATGAAATCTGGGGTTGACCTCGGTTTGGCTACACACACATAGTAGACACCTGACAGTAGCCTGGTACCCCCCTGCTGGATGCCACCTGAGTAAGCCACAGTTACTCCAACCAGCTACACTTAGCCATGAAGAACAGACTCCTTACTTTATAAAAAATCATGGCAGTTGGCAAAATTAATGATGAACTTTGAATTACAACAGTTAACTGGAGTCCACTTTCTGTATCTTTTTCACTTAGTTTGCAGGAAAGGCATCAGGAGAAAAGATGGCTCTCTTTGGCCCACTTAAATTATTCAAGTCAAAAACTGCTCCCTGCCAACTTTATTCTGAAATTCCCAAACAGACTTCTAGGTAAGTTTTCTGCTGTGGGACATCTGCTCAAGTTCCAAGTCCACTCTTTCTCCTTCTTAGAGGGACATGTGGACTACCTCTGGGGCTTCAGGTCTTTGGTGACATTGTGTTTATCTTGCAGACTCATAAGAGTTGCTAGTGTCTTCAGTCAGATACTAGTATAAGAATAAGCTATGATTAAAAAAAAAAATCTAGCCTGGTCTTTTCCAATAAAAAACCAATTTCCTGAAAGACAAAAGCCAAGTAAATCCTAAAACTCATATATACCTAACGGAAAATAGAAAACAAACAAAAAAACCCAAAAAACAAACGGGCCAGAAGACAACAGACTTAAGTTCCTTTACGACAAAGGAGAGCCTTCATCAACAGTGTTACCCAAATCCTAACTTTTTTGATAATCCTATACTTTCTCAGTTGTGCAAATACAAACAGTTAAAGTCTCAAGCAGTTTGATGACTTCATCTCAATACAATGTAACACTTTAAACAGCTCAAAGAGCATTTTTAAGACAACTTATAAATCCAGCAACTTGAACTTCCGAGTCAGAGCATATATCCCAGTCTGCTGGGGAATGTAGATGGGTGGTGGTGGTGGGGGGGATGTTGGTTTTATTGGAAGAGGACCAAAAATTGTAAAGCCTATTATTTCACTTCCAAATAGATTTTGTTAGTTTAGCTCCTAATCAAGCCAAATCTTTTTAGAGTAGCTACTCCCCACTAAAACCTTCCCACAATAAATACTACAGCTAAGTTGGATATAAAATGCAAGTAAATAGAACAAGCCTTTTCTATAGGACGAGACAGTTACATTGAGGCCATTTTCTGGTTTTGAGCATGCACTTGGACGAGGCCTGTGTACTTGGAAAGCTCCATGCTTTAACTCCATCAGGCTGGCTTGTTTGCCTTTGGCCACCATCCAAATCAAAGAAAGGCTGCCAGAAATGTAAACAGGATACATTTCTTTAAATTAATGAATTCAACAAAGACAGACACTCCTCTCGGTTTCTCTCTGGAACTGAAGTGCAGGGTACCTTCTATTCAAAGGTCAGAGAGAGTGAGAAAGGAAAGCTGGAGGCGAGGAGCCTGGCCCCAAAGTTTCTAGCAGCTTCCAGTGGGAAGCTGGCTGCAGCCAAGCTGGCCACCCCTGCCTGCACCTACCCTGGCTCTCCGAGGCTGCTTTCTGGGACAAATGCATACTGCTTTGCCAGGAAAGCCACCCACAGAGTGCTACCAACTAAAGCTCAAGGGCTCTCCTTGGGCAAAGCAAAGTGCCAGGTGGCTTCTACATCGAGCACTTTCAAAACACCTCGGCAGCAGGACAGAGACAGCAGATGAGCCACAGGCCATCAGATGCAGAGTCCTGAGATAAATGCTGCAAGCGAAGGTCAGAGCAAGATGGAGGACAGCCAGAAAAGTCACCACTCTGGTGAAAGAAGTTTAAAGACAAACTGGGGTGAGCTAAGAAATCTGGAACTTCTGTAGGAAATGGGGGAAAAACAGGTTTTGAAAAAGGGCAAGGTTGGAGGTTGGAGGGCTGCCTCCAGACCCATGTGGTAGGTGGGGCTACAAGACACACC